GAAAAACATTAAATCCTAAATTTAGGGCTTCTCTTTTTATATTTTATTTTGTAGGGATTGTTAGAAGAAGGTGAGAGAAGGGTTTTGGATTAAGAAATGCAAAGTTTTCTTAAGGAATTTTAATTTTAAAAATTAGGAAAAGTTTAGGGTTTTTCCAAATTTAGGGATTCTAGGGTTGCATGTTCACTAAGCTATTCCCAATGATTTAGAGAGGTCTCTAAATAAAAGAAATTACAATTTTGAGAAAAAAATAATTTTCTTAATTATTTTTTGATTTAATTCCGAAAAATAATAATGATTTATTAATATGTATAAGGGGAATGGTTTAAAAGGACTTCGGATGAATTGGATGAATTTTTAGGTTTCTATAATTTATATTTTATTTAAATCCAAAATTCAATTTTAAAAAAATCAAAATTGAGTATGAGGTTGATGATGTTGTACCTAAAGAATAGGTGTATGAAGATTATACGAAGTTTCTAAAAGAATTAGAAATTTTATTTTGGCAAGAAGTTTAAATTAAATTATTTTTCGTTAGGTGGTGGCAAGAAGAAGAGTAAATCAAGATGAGAGAAGAGGAATTCTTTTTATTACATGTTCATTTGTTATTTCATGTTTATATCATTTAATATATTAAAGCCGTTATGACATGTTTTATAGAAAAACCCTCATGACATGTTTTATAGAAATTGAATATTTGTTACACATGTAATATATACTTCATTGTTTCTTTCATGCTTAAGTGCTTAAGTGTAATCATTACATGTTATCAAATTCATGTTTAAAGATTTCATGTCAAACATTTTATATGAAAAGGAAGGAATGTATGTTCATATGAAAAACTATAGAAATGATTGTGTATGATTGATTACGGAGTATCAAAGACGGTGCAAAAACACATATGAGCAATATGGAAACATTATGGCCCTTGGGGCAAAAGAGGAAAAATGAATAAATGGCCAAAAGTGGTTTGTGTACCTGATCAGTACACCCTTGGTACTCCGGGACGGTTGAATATAATAATAAGTAAGCATTTTGAGACGACATTCATTTCATACATATCAAATGACACATGCATATGGTACCTAAATAATCTCTCAGTCATATGACATAAACAAGGTAGCATGAATAGAAAAAGAAAAGCATGACCACCTTTAGTTTAAAAAAAAATGTACATTTCATTTTTAGTCATATGAGCATGTTTAGGATTAGAAATTTCTACTGAGCGTAGCTCCCTAGCTTTGGGAAATTTTCAGGAGAACCTTCTCATAAGTGATGGCGGATCACCCGAGGTTTACTTACAGTCGTCGAGCAACGGGTGACAGGTTCTTTTATTAGTTGTGGTTCCTTACTTTACTTTTGGATGGCGTGCATAGCATGAATAGTTAGAAGTTTGTCATCTTGTATATTGTGAACACTATGGAATGGAAATAAAATTTTAGAGGCGATTTCTGTTCTTCAAGTTTGTTTAGAAAATTTTTGTTTACATGAAAGATGAATAGTGATTGATCTGAACGTCCGATTTCATTCCCACCTCGTATATACGAGCTAACCGGGCCGGATCGTGACAATTTGGGGGTCAAGCACTTTACATCATGCTTCCACTCTTTAAAAATTGCTTTGGCCCCAAGGATCATCATCCAAGGAATTAAAAAGTAAAATGAACTTTAAAAATAAACTTAAGTTTACTTAGTAAGGTAGATTTAGTTTGAAAAATCAATGTTAATGAAGCAATGTCTATAATTTCTATGATTCTCAATTTGCTGAAGATGCTAAGGACGTCTGAAGTCATTAAACCCATAGCCACACAACTACCAGATATTAGGCATGCCAAGGGTTTTAAGATGCTAAATTTTGAATAGGGATGAGCATAAAAATCTAACAACACAATAGATTCAGAAACTTATTCCTAGTCTATTAAATGTGATGTATAATCGGATTACATGAAGAATAACTACTGTATTTAAAATGACAAATAAAAGCTCTTTGGCAACACAGGATAATCACCATCATCATACCAAATAAAATACATTACTTGCTAAATTTGATCATTAAAATGAACATCTCAAATAAAATCAGCCAAGACACTCTTTTTTTTAATTTTACAGATCCACCGTTGGATAAGAGTGCCATAAAGCAGATGTAAACTAGAGAAAGAGGACCAGACAGACGTCCATACTCCCCATCAAACTTAACTCAAACAATTACCAGCACCAAAAAAAATAAGTAGGTAAAGGAGGTGGAGCGATCTCAACCTGCTTGCAGGGCATTCCAGTGATTAAACTTGTGAAAAAAAAAAGCAATTACATCAAGTTGTTAAACCAACTTGGCCTAGATGTTCATGTCCCAACACCAAATGATGAGGTTATGGATTTGATCCCTCTCTTCACACTTTTACTCATTTCTTGAAAAAAATATCAAGCATGCATTTCTATTTGGTTCTCATATTAAGAGTTTGTCCATTTTAGTGACTTTTTCTTATAATATTGTAACTAACCTTTTGCCATTTTATAAAAAGCAAATTTGGCATCATATGCTCCATAATGTCCGAAATTTGATAAATATGCCCCTGTTTCATTTCTCAAGGAAATATACCCAAAAGATCCATTTGAACTAAAATAACCAGAATTCAAAGAGATAAACGAGATTATATAAGGGACCTTTCAAGCAACATGTTGCTTGAAGCTTCCTATTTTCAATGCCTCCTTTTTTCAATGGTACTTGTCATTTGCAAGTAATGATCATGAGGCAAAGTTCCAAGACAAAACGTCTCCAACTAACTGATGATTCTCATTGAGGTTAGTGACGTTAAACATTTACAAAATTTTCATCTTCGGCAATGATATATGTTTACACTGTGAACTCTAAACCCACAAGGACGTGAGACAATAAATTATCAGCTTCAAACATCACTCAAAATTTATCCTAACATTAATCAAAACATGTTCAACTCATCATCAAATATTATTTGAAGCTCATTAAAATCTTGTTTATATTTATGAACAAAGTTCAAATAATGATAGAACAAGCTTTGATCATTATTCAAAAATATTTCGATCAACATTCAAATATGTTTTGATCAATCCTGGAATATTTGCTTGAAAAATTTCTAGCAATGTTGATTGAGACTTGATCAATATTTGATGAAAATTCAAACAAACTTTGAATTTAGTGTTTTGCACTCATTGGCTCTTTTGAGATTAATTAATTTGAGTTGAATTGCTATTCATACAGACATTTGCTCTAATTGTACCTGTAGAATGGCATACGCTGCTTAGGTGACATATAGAGTAGGAAATGTGATGAAAAAAATTGTTGAAAATTTTGTGACTAATGACATCAATGTGTTGAATATAAGAGGCAATCAAACAACATCTTTGTTGAATTTTGTACTGATCAGTAATTGAATGTTTTGCTAAGATCTAAACAAAGATGGGGCTTATGATTAAGATCTAAACAAAGGGACCCCTTACCTTATATTCTTCTTACTATTACTTAATAACAATCATTAAGTGTTTATTTTTGCTTGATCCATTGGGTCTATTCATCACGAAAGGATTGCCATATTCCTCAAAACATGGATGTAATTCACATCATGAAAAAAAAAACACAATGGAAGAGATCTATCAACTAAAAACAAATAGCATCTTTAAAAACCTACATAAACAAATTAAAATATATATTATGCAGAATGGCATAATCTCAATGCTCATATTAGGCTTTAACAACGTTATTTGAGATAAATATAGTAGCTATTAAAATTTAGCAAATAAGGACAAAAATGCTTATTGGAAATTTCCTTTGATGCCTATGTTTTAAATCCTGCTTTAGGCCATCAGTACAATGAACAACATAACATTGCCCATGGGACAGGCATGATTAAAGTCCATGTAAACACACAACTTCGGCCCACCACCAGAGATTACAACCAAATGTATTTAATACCATTATCCTCTAATTATGGTATCAATTCAAGTTGATGGCTCGAGTCTACTGCACTAATATAAATGCAACCCATTTATACTCATCCATCCTAGCTAATATTAAGATAGGTCATGGTACCTATCCTGAAAAAGAATTAAAAAAAAAAGTAACTTGTCACAACCCTTGAATCTAATAACTTAACCCTACTCGACTCATACGCAATGCCTTCTAAGTTGTCAGTATGGATTAATGGTAGAGGTGCAAATGAGTCGAGTCGGGTTGAGCTCGAACTCGAGCTCGTTTATCATTCGAGATCGATTGTAGGCTCGAGCTCGAGCTCGAGCTCGAAGCTCGATAAGCTTGGCTCGCGAGCTCGTTAACGAGTCGAGTTCGAGCCGGCTCGGCTCACTTACACCCCTAATTAATGGCATTTGAGCCCCAAACTATTATCAAGGGCATACTAGAGTTTTATTAACTATTCAACCAAACTCAATCATGGCTAGGTCAATAAGCCAAGCTAAGTAAGGCTTGAAATAATAATTTTTTCATCCATCATGGGTCAACAAGCTAAGGGTAGGACTTGGGTTTAAAAGGTCAATTACATAAAATATATTCTATATGCTAAGATTTCAAATTTAAAAAAAGTTAAAAAACCGGTAAGGAAACCATACTAAATAACTTAAGATGAAGAACGGATTCGATGTTCCTACTTGCAATTATCATATCTAGTTTCCACATCTACTTAGACGTCAAAAAGGACAACGTTCAAATGAGAATCCAAAAGTGATAGCATCAGAAAAATGCCAACCAAAGAGCAATAGCATCCCCAAGAACACTAGAAGTCTTGACCTTTGATTGATTATTAATCAGAGAAAAAAATTAAAATAAGGAGTACCAACATCTAGATCACCTTTTTTTTAATGACGACTTCCAAAATTATCAAATAAATGGTTTAAACAGCTTTTTTGAGTTCTAAATAACCATGAATGACTCGTGACCAATACATTTTTTATAAAAAAAAGATATCCATAAGCTGAAATTAAGAAAAAAAAAGAATCATGCTAATACATCTTTACCTCATGTGTCTTCCCAGGAGGAACAACTGTTTCTTTGTAGTCATCACTCTTCCTGTAAAGGTTGACATGGTACAAGACTTCAGAATAAAGACACTGACATTTATTTCTGAATTATTATTTTCATACTCAGGATTGCAATGTCTGAAATCAGACGAAGCTTAAAACAAGAAAAGCATATTTAAGGGGAAATGAAAAGAGAACATGCCTCGATTCTATGGCACCAGCATCCTCGGCTGATATAAAGAAGGGAGAATTCACAAAGACTACACTGCATTAGACAACTTATCATCATAGTCATGTCCACTGCAAATTTAAATAATTATCTTCTATATACAATAGTAAACAACCCAACGAGAAGCAAACCAATTATATATTATAAGTTAACAAAAGGCATAACCTAGTACATGAAGCTCCCGCTAATGTCAAGGAATAACTGATGTGACCAACTTTACCCTTGCAACGCAAGAAGCCATTTATGTGGTTCAACACCATGATCTCCAGATCACAATGGAGACCGAATTGGCCACTCATTCAAGCTTATCCTCCCACAATTATACTACAATTTGGTCATAGGAAAGAGACAGGTAGAGTAACAAAAGCTAAAACATCTTAAAGTATAACCACTGCGACAAATGCACTTTAGTAGCAGCAGGCTGCTAATCAACCAATGTTTCCATTGGGACCCAGCATATCTAAATTATATTCAGTGAATAAGATCTCAATTTTCAGTATTATAGAATGCAGTATTTTGGTATTCAATGTCATTATATTGAAATATTAATCTCGGAAGTCTAACAAATGAATGATATGACAGAAACAACACGTCTTTTAGATATTAAAATAGAATCAAATAAAACAACAAGTAAATCTAAGAGATGGCATGTTAATATATTAAGTCAAACAAGATACAGGGATAATTACCGAATAAAGTCAATGAATTTCTCCAACTCAGATGTGTAAATTTGAACAGCCTGCTGGATAACTGATAGTTGATCCTTTTGTCTGCTCAGAGATGAGAAATGAAAAAGAAAATTATCAACAAAAATAAATAAATAAAAACAGAAAGATCCATATATATCATTTTATTGGCAGTGAGTACAAGGGTCAAGCAAGGTAGCTCACATTTTTCTTTTCTCGGCACGTCCCCAGGAAAGTAGCAGGAAAAATCGAATTGAAAGCACCATCTTTGTAAGGCTATATAAAGAAGGTCCATAGCGTTGTCGTTGTTCTTCCATTGGTCTAATAGAGTAACATTGACAAATATCAAACTTTATGAGACATTCGCATCTAATTTAGTCAAAATGAGTCCATAAAAATCATATAGACATGTTTTTTGCATGAACATTAAGTTAATTGCCTCTCATGAAAATTAAGATATAGTACCCTTGATCATCATTAATTTGCTTTATAAAATCTAACAAAACCTGCAAGAGGGAAGAGGAGATATGATGTGAGCCACAAAAAGGGAAATAGCATGACTAGTAAGAAAGGAAATGAATTAGAGTCATTCAGAAAGAAATTAATTAAAATTTGATAATTCAAAACCCAACATTACATCAAATGTAATAACATATCAATTAAACTTCCCATCCCTTTAGCTTCCACCACCATTCTAGCCATTTATGTTCGTCACACAGGTAATAGCCTAATAGGTACATGGTGCATTCGTGCACATGATTTTGTTTGTTTGTGCCTTGTGTGTATGAAGGTCTGCAAATTCTGTTTATGTTTAAACTCTATTATGATATATATGTTGGGAAACTTAACTTTATATGCTCCATAATTGTAGAAAGTAGAGAAATATGCCTGATATTTATTTTCTTGAGCAAATATGACCGAAATTTATTTCGGACCAAAATAAACCATCTTTTTAACAAATAGAGTTGGAACTCTCACTGAACAGTAACACAACCTTTTGATCATAAGAGTTCCTCAACTTTCCTTCCTCCTATAAAGTTCTTCATTTCCAAAGACATCAAAGCATGAGTTTTGACTGTAGCAGAATTTCACGGCAATGGTCTCTTTATTCATCATCTGTGAAGGTTAATGATGTCATTCATTTAGTTATATAGTATTGAATAGGTGCTCACGCTCTAAATCTTAAACCCAAAGTAACAGTAGATGACATGATACAAACTTGTTACAACCATCTTTGAATCACCTACATCTTCAAATAATGATTAAATCACCATCAAGAAATATTTGAACTACAATAGAACAATCTTCAAACTATATTCAAAGAATTTTCAAGCAATGATCATACCATGATCTAAACATCTTCCATCATGATTTGAACAATCTTTGAACATGATCAAAGATGTTCCAGATGAACAAGCGATCATGGTTAGATTATGAGTCAAAGATGAATGAATGATAATCAAAGATTATTCGAATGATAATCAAAGATGGCTCAAACAAAGATAATTCGATCATGGAACAATCATCATTCGAAGTTCGAATGATGATTTGAGGATGGTTCAAAGATGATCATAGATGGTTCAATCATAGTTTGATCATGAATTGATTATGGTTTGATTATTGCTTGAAAAGATAATTCGATCATGGTGCAACCATCATTCGAACTTCGAATGATGATTTGAGGATGGTTCAATCATATTTTGATCATGAATTGATAATGGTTTGATTATTGCTTGAAAAGATAATTCGATCATGGTACAATAATCATTCAAACTTTGAATGATGATTTGAGGATGGTTCAAAGATGATCATAGATGGTTCAATCATAGTTTGATCATGAATTGATAATGGTTTGATTATTGCTTCAAGATGATCGAAGATGACTTAATCATGGTTCAATCATAGTTCTATGATGATGATTTATTTTGGTCATTTTAATTATTTTATTAAGTATCCCTGTGTCTACGCTAATCATACTAAAACAGGGACATTACAATGCTCGAGCCACACACAAGGCTGAGAATTTGATGGAAAGCTAGTTAGATAATACAAGATTGACGATCTCGTTAAAAGTAAGATATCACCTTTTGGTCAATTCTTTAGAACTGCTTAAATGTAATTTTCTAGAACCCTAATTCATCAACTATTACTGAGAATGGTTAATGATGATGTGAATGAAGGATACTCCAATATGTTTGGCATTGGAGGGAGGAACATCACATTTGAAATCATTGAATTTCCCTATATCATTAGTTGTAGCTTAGACAATTCTCATCTGAGGAATTGCAGAAGATGGGAAGAGCAATAGGTTGCGTGAGAACTTCTTGGATAGGTACATGAACTTAAAAAAAAAGGCCAGGAGAAAGCTTCCATGGAGTGCACTATGCTAGCTAATTTGTGGAAGCTTAGGCTATATTTCTTAATATAGTGTATTCTCCTCAACTATGATATACACAATGTCGTTTTCACTAAGAAGCTTGATATGGTTGAAGATGAGAGGCTTTTTTTTTATATCTATGTGTAGGCAGGCATAAAAGGAAACACTAAGAGAATTGAGGAGGGGCATGGTGCACTATGAAGCTAATGCACTAACAAAGAATGCCCAACTTGATACATTATAACTAGATATGCAATATCACTATAGTATTAGGCTTATGAAGCCATCTTAAGGATGGGAGAAGATCTTAGGGCTATAAATGAACTGAGTATTTGAAAAGCTAGCTCGGCTCAATTAGAGCTCATTCGTGATCATTTGATTAGCTAATCGAATAAGCTTGAACATTTTTATAAATACTTGACTATTAAATTAACAAACTTAAAGAGCTCGTTGCTCAAATTAATTATTATCATAAACAATATCGTTTAAAGGATGTGGATGAGCCTGTTAAGAAACTCAATTAAACAGTAATATGTATATAAGTATATGAGTATTATAAATAAAAATATATGCATATTAAATGTATTTAAAATTTAAATAATCATTTATATGATTTAAATTAATAATTATAATATTAAAATATTAATTTAAGCTCCTAAGTTTCTTTTTTTTAATTTAAATATTAAGGTTTAAGCTCAATGAGTATATTAAGTTTAAAAAAAAATTATGTTAAAATATTATGGTTTAAAGCAATGAGCTCGACTCGTTCAAAGATCGAAAAGCCTCTAAATGAGCTACTCATTTAAAGCTCGTTGATCATAAAATGAACTAAGTTAAAGATGAGCTCAAATCAAGCTCGAGCAAGCTCGAATTTAAATGAGTCAACCTTCAATGTTATCATAAAAGCTTGAATCGAGCTCAAGACAAGTTTGAACATTCTTTTAGTAAATGAGTTCAAATTCATTTGCATCCCTAGGTGAAATGATGAGTTCCATAGGCAGATAACAGCAACTATGGGTGTAAAAAAGTCAAGTCGAGCTTGCGTTATAGCAAATTCAAGCTCAGCTATCAGTCAGAAAACTGGCTCGAACTCGAGCTCGAATCAAGCCCAAAAAATGAACTTGAACTCAGCTCATCCTTTAACTCCTTGACTCGAGAGCTCAACTCGAGCTTGTGGAGTACACTCGAGAAGCACAACAGGCAAACTTGCGAAATCACTGCGGGAGAAGAAACGTCGAAAAAGCTTATCTTATCTGTCATCAACCCATTGGAGAAGCGCCGAAGAAGAAAACATTTTTTTTTTTTGAAGTAACAACAGCAATAGCATGAAAGAAAAATATTTTTTTTATTTTTTGGGAGAAGTAATAGCAGTAGTAGATGCATTAATGGCATTAAATGCAATAAGCTTTTTGCAGTAAAGTTTTTTTGGGAATATTACAACTTTCAAATTTTTTTAAATACGATAATTTAATAAAAGAAATGAATTTACTTCTAAATAATAGAAATTAATAAATAAAATTATTTTTTAACCCTAAATATTCATTTAATTAAGGAAGCTTGCAAGCCAACTAGCCGAGTCTTATCAAACTCGAACTCAAGCTTGTTTAATATGCGAGCTCGAGTTTGAGCTCAAGCACAAGGCTGGAAAAGCTTGACTCATGAGTTCATTAGCGAGTTGAGTTTGAGTTGGCTTACGAGTCAGCTTAGCCCATTTACACCCCTAACACCAAGTACGCTGAACTGGAAGAGCAACAAAGTTATTGCGGCCAAAGATTTCTTGTATTTGTTCATGGAAAAAGATGAAATTCTCTACCACTATCCTAAATTAAGCAAAGTATTTTTCCTCATGCCATAACCAATCTTTTTAGAGAATAACCAAATAATGTTGGAGCAAAATAGGAACCTCTAGCCAATCTCATTCATAATATTGTATATAAGGATGATGAAAATGAGTTGAGCGAGGCAATGGATATTATTGAATCAAGCAATTCACACAGATGATGTTAAGGATGCGACACAAAAGAAGCAAAGGTACAAAACAAGGTGAAGGACAAAAGGGAACAACCACCCTTGCCACTGCACCTACAGATAGGAGGGCTAGAAGATAGAGGAAGTCAGTCCATCTGTTGCAATTGCACAAAAGAGTGATATATAGTTAATAGGGTTATAAAAAAGAAGTTAAAAAATAATAAGTGCTTGACTAAAATTTTATAAATCTATCAGAAAAGAGATATGAGCCTATAGATCTATGCGTCATTGATCACATTTTCCCAATTGATGAGTAACTATCCTATTTCAATCCATGGATGCCTGAACTGGTAGACAACTCTCAAGAGGAGATAGGAGTGAGAAATCAAAAATGCAATGTGATTCTGATAGTTAGATATTCCAGCAAAGAAGTATGAGAAATTGAATCTTCCTTACACTAAGTTCAATTTATATTTTTGCAATCCACGTAGTGGGATAAAGGCTTGATGTTGTTGTTGTTGTATTGATTATTTATGTTTTCTAATAAGAAGCACATTTGGCACTAGCCTAAGATCTATGGACCTGGCATAATTATGTCAGACGAACCATTTGATCAGTATTGCGGATCGACAATCTTTATTTTCCAGAAGCTCAAGAAAATGACTCCTTTATATAGCCTAATCGGGCACTCATGTAAGTCATTGGAGAGGAGAAATTCCTAGTCATGGGTACATAACTTATATATTTTTCAATGAATCAAAATAAATTTAATTGAACTATATGTGAGATCTCACTTCCTATAAATTCTATGACATTCTATGGCTAAACCCTCTTGCTTTTCTATGCAAACTTGCAAAAAACAATGGGTGCACTCTACAAGTGCTTTCCTATGCTATTTGAACAGTTAAAATTATTTGACAATAGACAAGAACTTATCAAATTTTCCTTGGATCTAGAAGAAGACAGACGACATCCTTAATTATACAATAAAGTAATCAATTCAAAATTTTAAGAAAAATTTAAGTAATTTAAATAGTTATTGCACATATAGTATGATGATTGCTTTACATCATATTTTTAGCGGCAACTATGAAACATATGTCATAAAACACCTCATCTACCTGGTTTAAAAAAAAAACTTTTGGAAAATCATACATGATCACATACAATTCTATAGTGATTGTTTGTGTAGATTTATTTCTCAACAATGTAGTTTCAAAAATCTATTTATTATTCTGATGAAAACATTAATATTTTGTGTATATTAAGTTTTTAATTAATCCAGTTTACATTACTTGTGAATTTACATTTGTTGTAATATGGATTTTATGTTATAGTTCGTGAATTATATAATTGACTTACACTTTGTGTTATGTATGTTATATTATATCTTTTAAAATACACTACTTTGTGTTATAGCTGTTATATTATATTCCTTATAATCTACTATTGAGGTTGCACTCACTCTGTTGTATTCATTTTAAAGTCTATTGTGTTGCAATCCATGATCGAATAATCTTCAAATTATGATTAAATAAAATCTATTGCAATGTTATATACATATTGATGGGGACATCAGAGCATGAAAAGTATATCTGAGGCATGGCCATCGATCTACGGCCACGATCGAGTCGATGTGTTTTGAGTTATTTCATGTATTTGTTTTATTATGTTATTTATTATTTATGTTGTAATTGTTTTTCTCATTTTACCCCTTGCTGCCTAAGGTAAGTCGTATGTAAGCCCTAAGGGCAAGGTTGACTTTTATCTTTGAGTCCTTGGAGAGAGAGCGAGAGCCCTAGGAGAGGGAGATCAGATCACCCACCAACCTTGGAGACGGCCGGGTTTGTGGTTCCTTATATTTTTTTTTTCTTTTTCTTTTTCTTTTTTTTCATGAACCCCTTCTTCCATCCTCTAGCCACCAGCCAAGGTTCTCTCAAGCCTTTGCCACCGGCCACTCAACTTCCCACCACCACCACCGCATAAACCCCTCCCACTACCCAAACCACCGACCAACTTCATCCCCATCACCCCCACCGAAATCCACTTCAAGCCCACCAAACCGTCGGCCCTCTTTTCTCATGAGGCTATTTATAGCCCTCATGTTCTTCTTCTAAAGTTAATAATTGAAGGATAAGTAAATTTTGTGCTATTGCTTGAGATCTTGAGAGATCTTGAGAGTGCTTGGAGAGAGAGCGAGAGCCCTAGGAGAGGGAGATCGGATCACCCACCAACCTTGGAGACGGCCGGGTTTGTGGTTCCTTATCTTTTTTTTTTTTTCTTTTTCTTTTTTTTCATGAACCCCTTCTTCCATCCTCTAGCCACCAGCCAAGGTTCTCTCAAGCCTTTGCCACCGGCCACTCAACTTCCCACCACCACCACCGCATAAACCCCTCCCACTACCCAAACCACCGACCAACTTCATCCCCATCACCCCCACCGAAATCCACTTCAAGCCCACCAAACCGTCGGCCCTCTTTTCTCATCCTCCCTCCAAAATTCAAATCCTACCTTGAATCCTTTCCATAAGTATCTACTCTTAATTTTGGAAGGTTTAATTTCAAAGCAATTTGAATTTGAAAATTTCTTTCCTAAATTAAGAAACCTATTTTAGGAAAGTTCATAAATTAAATTCCATTTGAATTTTGAATTTGAAATTCAAATAGAATTTAATTAAAACATTTCCTAATTCCAATACCCAAATTAAGAAGCTACAAATCTATCCCCATCAATCCTCTCCAAGCATTGATTTCCGCCGACCCCTATTGGGTGGGATTAGGAAATTATTTCCTAAATCCCAAATTCCCCATTTGGAAGCAATTCCAATTTCCCCAACTATCTATTGGCTGAAATTCCCCTTGCCCCCTACCTCCTTAATTTTTTTCCAAAACCACTCCTAATTTGGAATTAAGCCTCAAGCTCTCCTCCCCTGCTGGCCGAAAACCCCTCAAGGCCTCTTTGCTAATTTTCCTCCACAAATCCCTCCCAAACCCCATCCGACGTTGGGTTTTCTTCTCTCCAAGACTGCTGTCAGAAAATTCCTGCAACCATTCCTGGATTCTCATCAACCAGAGGCTTTGAAACTACTGCCTTAAAAGGACAGCTTGCTGTCCATCAGCTCCCGCCGGATCATTTTCACTGTAGCACCATCAGAGAAGTTTCTCCTTGCTGTCCAACACTTCCCAAAGTCAAAACAGCGACTTCTCGCATGGATGGCTGACCTGGAAACAGATTATGGCATTGTCTACGACAAGCACGGCTTTGTTCACATCCTCCACTCAACCTTCTTCGACGTCAACCCGAGGATCGATAATACTTCCGAAGAATACGTGGAGCACATCCTGGATACCCTTGTCGGAGCCGTAGAAGAACAACTTGGTACCGTACAATGGAGGATTACATCCGAGCCCAACAAAGGTCTTCCAATCTTCCTCCTCTTGTCTTTCCTTAGTCTAACCCACTCTTTTGTGATTTGATTTAAGTCATGAAGATCGTGTTCGCCTAACTCTGCCGAGCTTAGTAAACCTAGGATTCAGTGCACCTCATTTGTTTCTAATTTTATTGTTAGATTAAGGATTTTTGTTGAAAGCTATTATATTTGCATGTCATTGATTTTCTTTATTATTTTGATAATTCAAAGCTCTTATTGTGCAACTTAGCCTAAATGAAAGTGACCGCTCTTATGTTTTATTTCGTCATTTTTATTTGCTAATAGTTCTAATCATTATTATTCTAACCAATAAGCCGTGCAAGTTCTTATCAAATTATTTTAAGCAATTTTTGATTTTTCCGTTCATGATATTCTAGCACATTGTCACTTAAAGTTTGTACAGAAAATTAACGGAAATGTGGAATAGAACCAGAATCATAGATTTAGTTTGCATATAACAGTTATAAATAGAAAGAGGTCGAGCCAACACACCTGTGGTACACCAACCAAATATTTAACAACTGTCTTGTAGACACCTTGAGCAGAACCAAGTTGAGCTAGCTGTCTCCGTCTATAAGATTAACAGCATGTAGTTTCATAAAATTTCTTGAATAGTAAGTGAACGTTTGATGTGAAACGGGATGGATGAAGGTTTGACCTTTCCATCTGCTGACTCCACAGTAAAGCATAACGATCATGTATGCTTCCACCAGAATTAACCAAAGTATCAACCAGCGCTTGTCTATTCCTCTCAGAGCGCTCCCGTTGCTGCCTTATGAGTGTTCCTCGAAAATCTTGTGGCATGTAGGTCATAACTGCAAATATATATAAAGCCACCATGTCAATCGCCTATCAAATAACTTAGCAATGCCTAGTGATTAATTTTTTTTAGAAATTAACTAGCACAAACTGGACTTAGTGTTTATTTTAAATACAAGGACTTCAGATGTTAGCCCAAGTTAAAGTGTGAGAGATAAAACAAATGCATTTCACAAATAGCTGTATAAGCATATTAGAAGAGATTTACCGCAAAGAGATATAGTGAGAAAAGAAATACAACCACTACAAAAAGATTATCCCTACTCAATAAAAAATGCACCATCTACGCACTCAGGAACAATGAAGTTATCAAAGTGCAATGACCAAAGCAATGAGCAAGATTTTTTATTTTGTGTGGTACAAGTTGAGGAAACATGTTAGCACAATAATTGAGTTGCCCCAATGAGATGTGTAAGATTGGAATAGCAGAAATAACCTCTCTCATATGTAGGGGATAAGCCTATATGCAATCCATACCGTAAAATGCTTCACACCATGCACTTTGAGCATTATTTTTACCACCGTTTAAAAAGGCGGACAAAGCGTACACCTCGAGTTGTGCCTCAATTCGAGGCAGAACCCAAACGACTCGAGGTTTAAGCCTCAATGGCTCGGATGAGGTGTGTGCTCTTTTCTGATGAGGTGTACGCCTTGAGGCGTAGCGCCTTGAGAAATTGGGGCGAGGCGTGTATAACGATTTGGGCTTCCCTACTTTGTATGAGAAGAGTATTGAAAGAGAACTCCTTTGCCATCTTTGGCGTCTTCGACAACAACATTCCCGTCAAATTCGACGCATTGCAGTGAAGGTAACGATTTAACTCCTTTTTGTGCGTTGTTGCGGCTTCGCCTTCTTCGTGTTTTTCGTAATAAGAAGAGTTCTGAAAGAGACGATTTAATAGGAGTGCTCAACAGACGACCTTTATTCGACAAAAGACAGCTGTTTTGGGTTCGTCTGCTTTGTGTAAAGTCGGATCTCACAGTGAAGGTGACAATCTTCTTCCTCTTCATTGATTGCTTTGGCGTCGCCTGCTACTCGACTGCTACTGCGAAGGTAACGATCTTTGTTCATGTTCGTAATCTCTTCAGCTTCGCCTGCTCATGCCTGCTTCGAAAATAGCTTCGACTACGCCTCGAGGAATAATGAATTGAAAATATTACAATAATGATTTTTTTCTAATTCTAATCACTCTCTTAAAATAATTGAAAAAACTTTATTAATCTATCTTAGTTTAGTGGTCATTGTTTTTTTATCCATTTTGAATTTATGTTCTTCCAAATCTTTAATATTTAAAAATTTTAAATTGTGATAAACTTTTCTTAATTCAAAAAGTTAAAATTTTGAGATTCTTGACTGAGACATTTTCATCTATTTATATATTTTCTAAAATATATAAAAAATAGAGAGAACATCAACTTGAAATCATGTTTTTATGTGGTTTTAAAAAATTACGAGGAAATCTTATGTCTCATGTAAATTGATGTTGTGATATAGTAATATGCATTTCTATTGATATCAGTTCTCTATGCTTTATGCATTAGATATAGAACTTGCTTAAACTTTATGACAAGGTCCTTGCTTTATGCGGAGAAATATATTTCTAGAGCTGCCTTCTCATTTTGAAGTGGACATTTACTTAATATTTTGACATTTTTTGTGAATTATTTATAATTTTTAAGCACTTTATTTTTTCGTTTTGAGGCTTATGTCTCGCCTCGCTTAGACAAAACGCCTTAATTCTCGATTCTTCTATGAACATCCTTTCACTAATATAATCATTATAAAATATTCTTCTATGAGCATCCTTTCATTAATAGAATCAATAATTAACCAAAAAATGACAAATAAATCTCTATAGTTTCCCTTTATTTTCTCATTGAAGTCCTATCCACCTCATTAGTGTCATCCTCCCACCCTCCACAACCACCTACTCCTCTATAGCCTTTCTCACCCTTCCCTCCTCTCTAACGCCTCTTATAATCTATTTGAGAACCTCATCGGTTAGCGGGTGCAAAACCGTACTAGTTCCCTTCCATTTCTCATGTCTCCTCAACTACCTCTCCTATAATCTTATCAACAACCCCATCAGTTGCCAACCCTATTAATACCGCTCTACCTCCCACATTCACTCCTCAGAATGAGACAAGAAGAGGGGACATGTTAAAGAGAGAAACCAAAGCCCTAGAATGAGAAAAGAAGTTAAGAAGAGGGGACATTTCGAAAGACAAGCATTTCATCTTAGAGATCAATCCAAAACAATGAATGAGAGTATTTTAGTCATAAAATTTTGTATCATTCAAATTTAAGTAAAAACAAATTATCATATAAGCTAAATTAAAAATTAAAAAAGCATTATGAACCAAAATCAAGGATTTTTCAAAGCTAATATCTACACGAAATGCAATAAAAACTTTCTGGACCTGACTAATATTTATCAAAAACTTTCATTATAAATTTTGAAGAGAGGTACAGAGTTTGTTTTAGAATAAAATTGAAGAATAAGAGCAACCAACTTTAAATTTTTTTTAAAATAATGGAGTGAGTTAAAGCGACTACGGGTGGGATCTAAAGATGAAGACCATTGATGCACCTAATAATTGGTGTTGAGACAAATGAAAGGCAAAATTAACATATTTTGATATTTTTTGTGCTTCAATATTCACAAAGGTGTGCATTTTAAATAAGTTATATTTGATATAGTGTTTGAAAACATAGTTATTATAGGCAAGAATATGTCGATCCTAAGTGCACGCAAGCTTATCATAAGATATGGATGATGTTGGGGACTCTAAAAATAAAGACACTTCTAATGCATCATCAGATGGAGCTGCGAAAATAAGTGTTGATGTTACAAAAGTTAATAAATCAAAGAGGATGATAATATATAAACTATTTGGTGAGAAGAAAAAATTGATGGGTCAAGTTTTCCAAATAATTAAATTTCATAGTTCGCTAATGCATGTCTAGTCATGAGTTCGTATTCAACTGCAATAACATCAAATAGGTCTACTAATTCTAAATGCTACCATCACAGAACTAGATTGTAATAAAATAATTTATGAAATTATACAATCACACTTGTTTGCTATAAAAATAGTTAGGGAGCCAACAAAAATAAATTTTCATAACATGATCGATGTAAAGGTACACTACCTACAAGACCTTTTCAAAAGCCATGAAAATTGATGGGATATGATCCATGTAGGGATTCTTTTGATTTGCTTGGTTGTCTCTTTAGTTGTTATCCTATTCCTTTTTTGTGTATGTAAAGAAGAAGACTTTGCATGGCAGTAGTGACTATAAAGTTTTGATCATATGTACTATCTCAATGCTTATGATAAATCATGTTGTGTTATGATATATGTGTGGTGTTATGATGAATCATGTGTAATTATTTCTGGATTGAAATTACTGCTTATAATGCAGCATGGATAATAATGAAAAATATCAATCCAATAACCAAGTGTCCTTCTAAAATTTAGTCGTTTTATATCCCGTAGATGAATTTTGTAAACGTTTTTATGGAAATATTAGTGGCTGCAATGGATTGTGTGTAGCTATATGATCATCCCAAGTTCCACAACATGTTCTGTATGTTACAGGCAATACATAAAGATATGCTTAATGTCTAACAAATTCATCATGAGTTGAACGGTTCAGCAAGGACTCAAGAGAATTGCATGCTATTATAATTAATACTTACATTAAGAGTTGCAAGTGAATGATTCCAACACTGTCGAAATAATTACTGGAAATATTTTTAGAAGATAGAAATTGTCATGTGTGATTGTCCACTGACATAATAGGATCACTAGACAATGTGTTTCCAACACTAACAGAGATATGCAAAGATAATTGAAGTATGTCATACTTCAAGGTATTTTTATTTGAAATTTCATAGAAAAATGCATTTCCTATTAAATATTCATATGTTAACATCAGAAGTATCATTTGATAATAGGATTGCATTGGGGCCATTAATGGAACACCAGTACATATAGGTGTTCTTAAAGTTGAGGGGGTAGCATAAATAGGTCATGACGAATCACCAAACCATAATGTGATGGCACGTGCAACCTTAACATGTAAATTACCTTCATCAAGCCAAGTTGGGAAAGGAACGCTTATGACAAATACATTTTCAACAATGTCATAAAGATCTTAGTAACAATTTTTCAATGCCATACCTCGCTAAGCATTATAATGGTTGCTTTAGGGTGTACATTTACATTAAAAAATAATTGCACAATGACTGAATTGAACATAGAAATATCATATAGTTGATTCGCAGAATCTACTACAAAGATATTTCTTCAAGTTATATCAGAAAACAAGGAAACAAGATGCAATATCCCTAACTAAACAAATGATAAGCAGCAAGTGAAGGGGAGACGTGAGCCATTCAACAAACAACATCTATCACTTTATGGTGGAATTGAGGGATCAAAAAAATCTATTATCCTTGGGGAGATGTCTGCATACTCTTTAAATAAGCAAGGGAAATTTGTTGCACCCCTCCCAACGGGACCCTGATTAGATATTTGTGAAGCAAGTGATTCATATGTACCATTGAAAGCATACAAGCACCGCATCAAACCATCATTAGATCAAACAAGCAAAGATGAGGGTGAACGTCAAGGAGAATTGTGACTGTGGAATGCTACTGCATGAGAATTTGTTAACTAGGCCACATGAATGTCATTTCAAGGAGTTCAAGAGAGTCAAACTATCTTGAAATGTTGCTACTTCAATGATATTAGTTCTTCCAAACTCTTCATTGGTGTGATTTCTATAAGTATGAACATTTTGTTTAAGCATGTTAATTGATGATGATGACTTTATAGAAGTATGATGATGGCACTATTCATAAAAATCTATTCTACAAACAGAAAAAAAATGTTCATGAACCACACATTAAGATAATATATCAATATATTTTATATGATCTACAAGTGTTGATTTAAAATAACATAAAATAAAGTGGTATGTATGTTACATCTGGATTTAAATGATGTTTCTTTATTAGATTTGAATGAGAATTTGACTTTTAACAAGACACAATGGCGAAAAAAGATTCATGTAGCCGACCCCACGTAGTGGGACAAAGGCTTGTTGTTGTACAATTACATCTGGTTGACATTATCATATATACATTACTGTCGTCTTTATGACACTGGTTCTGTTGGATTTGTTAGTTGTAACCTTATCAGAAACCCAATACTAGAACTTCTGGTTCTTGTTATTTGTTCTAATGCTAGTTTGTGACTTCCTTTTAATATTGTCCATTAAAAAGAGATGCATAATATTAAGTTAAGTGTGGCAGAGATGATGATTCTCAGGTGGATGAGTGGCTTTATCCTTAGAGATAGGATACGAAATGAGCATATACGTGAAAAGATTGGAGTAGCTCCAGTAGAAGATAAGATTAGAGAGAGTCACCTTAGATGGTTTGGTCACATAAAACGGCGGCCTTCTGATGACCCGGTTAGGAGAGTAGAGGTATTAGATTTGACTTATGTTAAGAAAGGTAGAGACAGACCTAAAAAGACTTGGTTAGAAAATATTAGGAATGATCTTTCTTTATTAGATTTAAACGAAAATTTGGCTTTAAAAAGGACACAATGGAGGAAAAGGATTCATGTAGCCGACCCCACATAGTGGGATAAAGGTTTGATGTTGTTGTTGTTGTTGTTGTACAAGTGTTGATTTCTTCCTAATTTTAGCATTACATTTTTCAACAATACACCGATGTCATGTTGTTATTATGGGAAGCCATCCAGGTGTCCAAATGACATCCTAGGATTGTTAAGCTCAAGTGGTTTGTTTTAGAAATGATACATATCAATCAGTAAAAACCTAGAAAACGAAAATGAACTTTTTCAGGAATACCAACGTGGACGTCAAAAAAGACAACACCATAATGAGGGACCAAACTCCAATGTTTACAATGAAGATAGGACAATCTTTCTTCTTATGTGTGTATAATGTTTGATCAAAGGCATATTGATTGGTAAGAGCATTGAGACACTTTGGCCTTCATGTATATGATGTAAGATATCCTTACTATGGTATTCTACTGTACTGCAAATATGATATTTTGATTACTACATCGGTTGTTTGGTGTAGGTATTTTTATGGATTACTTCGAGTGTATTTGTTCTAATGAGTTTAAAGTTGACATAAATGCAAAATATTTTTATTTTAATTCATTTCTTTCCTATATAGATGTTCTCAAAATGAAGCTGCATGATGGAAGCTACAATTTCATTCTCAAACTATGTTATTTTTAATGAAAAAAAGTCAATAAGTGCATTATAAAATCATCAGATAAGTGTACATTTGTCTGCTAAATTAAATGGGCACATAAGCCAAGCAGTTTATTGGTTAACTGACCAGTGTTAAAGACAAAATCAGAATTTTTTGATTGGAATGCCTCCAGTGCCTTCAGAGCCCTCTGCAGTGGTTCTTGCAGATCTTCAACAAATTTATCAATATCAGCATCTTCTTGCGTTGCTTTCTTCTGAAGTTATAGGAAGATTTTTAGAATAAAGGTGACAGCACCTAAATTCTTAGAATTAAAGATTTTAAAATGTCCATAAGACCAAAAAAGGCTATAGATAACCAAGTATAACCAACCAAAAAAAATTCAAAATAAAAGGGAACATAAACAAAAAAACAGATTAAGTGCAAACCAATAATACACAATTCAATCCAAAAAATACAGAATAAAAGCTGTACCAATTTTGAAAGGTGAGATTTATCTAGCAAATATAGGATTTCCTCGATGTGCTCTCTATTTTTCCATAAGTTCTCATCAACTTTATGAGGAGGATTACGATCAGTTTCCTCTGCAACCAGTTGCTCACCTTCAAAGATAGCATTTTATGTTAGAATATAGGAACAAGTCTAAACTCTATAAGACAATTAAAAAAATATGAATTTGCATTTGTGTTCCCAGTGATTGGTTTTCAATTTATGAAAAAATAAACCAAAAAGGTGAACCTGGGGCCGCTTTGTTTAACGTATGCTTTAGGAAGTGGTTGGAGATGGGTCTCGAAAGTGAACTTCAATGAAAGGAGTTTCAATGGTATTTGTTCATTTTGCATGAAATCACTTCTAAGGAGTTCAATTTCAATGTTTATTTAGAATGCAATGGAGTTAAGATTTTATATATTCATCATCCCATTTTATTGTTATTAATTATGATCGTGAATAAACTTAACATTATATCCAACTCTTCCTTTACATATAATATTTTATTGTTATTTTATGCAAAATAAAAAGTAAAAAAGCATATTATTTCCAAACTCTCATAAGTGAGGCTCATTTCTCTCTTTAATGAAGATGATTTCCCAAAGTAAGAACTCATTTTTATCTCGTTTCTAAAAAACAAACCGTAACTCATTTTCAAAACTTAGCTTCAATTACATCCAAATACCTAGGAACTAGTAGCCACCTGCATGAAATTCCCACCAATAAGAGGTTTGGGGAGGATATTGCAAAGAGGTTATAACCCTGATTCAAATACGTCAATAATTAGTTTAAAAAAAACGTCAATAATGGTTCAAACATGGTGTCGCTTTAACATTGCAGTAATATGAAATAAAATAAACTTATCTTGTTTGGACTAAAAAACAAAGAAAAGGTAGAAAATCATTCCACAGATAATTCAGTTGCCTCACAAGTGGTAATATCAAATTTTAAAAAATCTCTAATTTTACTGTGAAAATATAACTCAATCACAAGTATAAGCATATTGGCCTTTACCAGAAACAAAACTTAGATGTATGGCTAAATTTTATATCTGGCACAGCATAATCAAAATGTAGAGTCTTCAATTGTTACAGGTTACTTGATTCACTATGAATATAATGCAAGTAAACCTTAAAATGTAAATGTGGCCGATTACTTTGTACAAACACTGTGTTAAACAAACACAAAATACAAAAAATTCAGATATCCAGGAAATCTAAGCAAATTATGAGCTTTTCAATACAACAACAACATCAAGCTTTTATCCTACTGAGTGAGGTCACCTACATGAATCCTTTTTCTCCATTGTATCCAATTAAGAGTCAAATTCTTATTTAAATCTAATAGAAAAAGATTATTTCTAATACTTTATAATCAAGTCTTTTTAGTTCTACCTCAAACAAGAACTTTTGAATATCTCAGCACAAATCATTCTCTTAAGGATCTCTTTTGCTTTACCAAGCCAAACTGCAGCAAGCATTATTTAATGTTGAATGTATTTGGATCATCTCCAACAAGTATTCTGAGAGATCTCTCAAGAAAGACCCCCCTCTAATCTCTAAAAATTACAATAAAGGTGAAAATATAAGATAATGATCAGAAAGTAGCATCATATGTCTTCATTTGCACAAAGGGACTCCCCTAAAACATCCAAAGCATAAGCTGGGACAACTTTAAATAGGCCAGCATCCAGGCATAAATCCAACTCCATCCAATTATTTACAAATAGAGCTTCCTAAATCAGTTGCAATCTTTTCAAAAGTAATAGTTGATTATCAATCACTCAAACCAAAACAACCGCAACCCAATATAAAACCAAAGGAGAAAGTAACGTAGTGCTATGTGTATTCCACAATGACAATAGCCTATATAGCTTTATTCATGGGTTCATGTCAGGCCTTTTCATTTATTTGATATCATGAGCATGCTTGTGGTAGAAATAATGGCTAAGAATGATCTATAGAAATGACCGATAATTGGCACAAAGTGGAGAATAACTTTCTAAGAGAAATCCCTTGAAAGAAAACAACTAAGACATACTGATTGCACCTCAACAAAGACAATAAATAGTTTTCTGAAAGAAGTTCCTTCAAGAAAATAATCTAAAAAAATAATCTCATCAAAAGAGTAAAATAAAAAAAGCAAATTATATCATTAACTGACACAAGACGCAAAAATTACCCTAATCTACAACAAACAAAACCCAGTGAAATTCACAATTGGCATAGTGTAGAAAAAGGAAATCCCAAGGAAAATATCTAAGGTAGAATATCCATCTGGAAAATTTTTATTTTCCCAATACGAAATAATATAGGCACAAGTCCACTTCTACTTACCAGCTTCACGTCCAATATTGACAACGGCAAGGCAATCAAAGAAGAACGGTAGAATGGGAGAGAAAAAAAGAAGAGTTAAGTACTAACAAAATAGTCTATATTCTTTACAACAAATCTTCTCTTTAGATCTCTGCAAAGACATCTGCAGGCATTGATACGAGCAAATGACAAAGAAGGATATATAAAATTGAACCGTAGTGGTTCAAAGCTTATGATGATGAAGCCATCAGAATCATGGCATTGCCTCTCAAAGACGTGAAAGGATTTAGTGCATGATTTCCAGAAAATACTAGTGGACATAGGGCCCATCAATTGGTTGGAGAAAGAAACCATGATTTAAAAAGTGGCGGTTCTATTGCCATTTATTTTGCCTTAAATTCTCACTTTTAAGAGATTTTGAAAGTGTTCTTAGAGTTTAAAATCAATGTTGAATTATAACTACATCCAACAAATAATAAAAAATGGTAAAATTATTTCTAGCTTCAATCGACCAAATGAACAAAAAAAATGCATACTCAATTTTTTCCGAGTATGAAGAATTGAAGATTGATCATTTACACACCATGCATCTATAAACTTTGGCATACCTACCATGGGTTGACAGATATTTAGTGTAATGAATTATTATTTATTGAAAAAGATACCTAGTAAAGAAGCTTTGAAGCTGCTTAGTTGCATTATTGTTTGGCAGAACATTAATAGCAGCAAAAATTTGAAATTTGATGAAGTTACCGATCCCAAAACTTCAATAGCTAACAAAGTATGACTCGGATGACCAAATGGGGTTGATATCTACAAAGTATCAACCAAGGACTTTAAAGTCAAAATTGATATTAGTTTGGCTATTTTGATATTAGTTTGGCTCCAGAAGTACATTTTTTGGTTCTTTGGAAACACTTCGTGTTCAATTTTTATTTGATTATTTTTTCATTGTTAATTTAAACATTAAACATCATACATCTTTATATTTAAAATAACAATACTTTTAGCTTCAAGATAAATTGATATCCAATTTAAACCTAGGCTTAAATAAAAATTAATATAAGAGGGCAAGCATGAAGTAGTGGTTAAGTTGCCTCAAGCATATTCTGTAAATCCTAAATTTGAGTAATGGAAACAACCTCTTGACAAATGCGAGTGTGGGATTGCAAACAACAATCACTTCAAAGAACCTACATTAGTGAGAGCTCTATGCATTGAGTGCACCCCCTTAAATAAAAAATAATATGAGGAAATACTTATAAAAAATTATTCTTAAGGGGTAAATAGAGGCTAACACGTCATGTTAGTTTATCAATTTATCAAAACAAATAAAAATCAAATTTGCCTAATTATGATTTCTTCTTGAAAACAGGAAAATTTTGATAACCTCTCTATAGACTCCCACCTTTGTTATGTTTCCTTTCATTTTTCTTCTACCAACTTAATCACTTAATCAATGTAGAATTTTAAACCATTGTTTATTTTAATAGTACATATTAGAATTCTTTTCAGCCTTTTCCTTAATTAAAGTAAGTGAAAGGAGCTTTATGTGTGGGCCAACAATGAAAATAGGATGAGGTTAGGGCTTAAAATTGCACGCAAATAAGCATCTTGGAGCACTAAATGATGCAACTTGAGAGGGTTTGAAAGATCAGTTGAGAGTTTTAATTGAAATTACTGAGTTTCGGTTCTAAAAATCCCTCAAAATACAGGCATTTTAGCATGAACTCTTGAAATCCAGTCGAAACCACAAAAAATGTCGTTTCAGACTAATGTCAGCTTAAACAAAGACCAAAACCACCGAAATAAGGTTCACCTTCCTCACATTGTAAAGCACCTGTCGCACACATGCGACATTAATACCACAGAAGAGCATAAACCAACTAGTGGAAATCATCAACTTCATAAATAATAAAAGCTATTAAATTAATAACACAACCTTTTGAGGAGATAACAAAACTAAAGGCTAAAATAGATCCCATTATAGTTCCTAACAAAATAACCTACCTCCATTCGAAAAGGCGCGAGCATGTTACCAAGTTATCAAGTGGATTCACTCTCTCATTCTTGGTGCATTAACTAAAAGTATCTAAGAATATAATTAGTTACAACGCAATCACCAATGCCTAGATCTCAATTGCAGAATTATACCATGCCAAACCGAATGAAAAGATTCGTCAGTTCGCTTCGGACCTGATCCCTGGAAAAAAAAGGCAAAGGAACGTTCGATAGAGAGAGAAAACTAACCAGGGGTCAGGGGTAATTCTTCCAAAAGGTTGTCGGAGAGACTCCGGAGCTCAGCAGTCAAGCGGGTAAGGTCTTCAGAGATAGCAGGGGCAGGGTACTTGTCGTAGTATCGAGCGAGAGAAGCCCTCGTGATCGGTACCAAACCCTCAGTCGAAGATGCCATTGACGCCCCAACGCACCGATCAGAACTCAGGAGAAGATGCTCGAAACGTAGCCCTAATTATTCCTATAGGAGGATGGAGGGGATCAAACAGAAACCGGATCAGCAGGCGCGAGTTCTCGCCGGAGCATCAAAAGCCAAAGGATCACCATACACCGTCGGTTGTTAAGTTGTTTCAGGGTTGTCCGATTATTAAATGCGGAATGTCTGAACGGAATAAAGGCAAAGCAAGCCAAATGAGTTGTGTAATGTGAGGGTGAGCGGGCAGGGTGAAATTAGCGATCTCAATTTTTGTTGGTTGGTTGGTTGGATTCCAATTTGATTGAACTAAATCCAATTCAAATAAATAATTTAAATCTGATCAATTTATCATGCAGGTTAAAATATTTAGGCTTCATTTTGTAGATATTTTTTTATTATTTTTAATGCATTTTTTTAATATACGAAAAAATTCTTCTAATCCGGCTCATTTATTATATAAATAATATAATTTTTTAGATCAATAAGACCCATTAAACTCAAATAAAACCCTTATAACCAAGGTTTTGAAAATTGGATTGGACCGGCAAGTTCAACTGGTTGAACTGCAGACTGGTCAGTCATTTGGTTGCCACTTCATAATCGGCTTTGCAAAGAACCAGCATCAGACTGGTGGTTCGACCATCAAAACGCAAAACCGGTAACGATCTCATAAAATCGGTCAATTCAGATAAAATGCATTTTGAGCCATCTTGATTAAATCTGATGGTGTAAAATAAAAAATTAAAAAAAAAAAAAAACTAAATTATATCGTATAAAAAAACCCTACTATTAAATGTCTTCTTGCTCTCCAATAAGCTCCTATCGATCCTAGCTCTCGTCCACATCTCGTGTTCTTTCACAAAGCCAACACATAACCGAAGCCGCCCATCTCATGCTCAACTTCTCCTCTCCGACTCACTACTATGAGTTATTCACTTATTCGCCTCGCATTCACTCTCACCAATAAAACTTAGTGATTTCTTCTCTGATAGGTTAAAATTTTTTGTTTTACTTAGTTGAACTTCTGATTTGAGTTTGAAAAATGATTCTTGTAGAAGGAGATTGATTTCTATCCATGGGAAATTGAGTTTGTCGTCTTCTACGTGTGTCTTCAATTCGATGTTTTTTTTTTAAACCGTCAATTCTTCTGTTGATTATGTTCACATTTTCCCTAATTTGAGCTTTTGGTTTTGAGCATCTTATTCTGATGTTTTGGATTTGGATTATGTTCAATGTTTTCATGGGAATTTGAGTTTGTCGTCGATTATTGATGCCAAGGGAGCAACGCCATTACATTTTGCTTCGAAGCAAGGTCGGTCATCCTGTGTTAGAACGCTATTGGATAAAGGAGCTCTTGTCTATGCTTCTACCGGTAACTACGAGTAACTTTGATGAATTTTTGTCTACTCTTATTATGTTATTTTTTATTTTATGAACTTTGAAGTATTAAAATTAGTTAAATTACTTGTTAAATAATTTAATTTTATTAATTCTTAATATAATAATTTTTCGTGAAAACATGTATGGTTATTTGATTAGTTCTAATTTTTGTTATCAACGAGGGTTTTATCGTGGCAAGTATTCATAGGAGCAGATTTTTCCTTTTCCTCTTTATTTCCTCTTGTCAAATGAAGAAAGCTTGTTCTCCTTTCCTCTTCTAAGACTTCGTTTGGGACAACTTTCTCGCTGCTTCTTGAAGCAGCTTTCTAGTGCAAAAAATTTATTTTTTTACTAGAAAGATGCTTTAAGAAGCATCAAAAAAGCCGTCCCAAACAAAGCCTAAGGCTTACTCGGGATGTGAACTACTTTGCTGGCGCCGGAGAATTATACGCTAGGTAGAAATCGGGCATAGTTTTTGCATTTCCATTCTCTTTCTTGTTGTCTATAATGTAGTAACACTTGGTTGTTCTGGCCTTAGTTTTCCCCATCGCATGTTGATTATTTCAATGAAATTATAATGAAGAAACTAGGAACTACATGGAAGTTGTTGTAAGCCTGTAACATTCATTTATGAAATAGAAGTCCAAACTTAAAACATGAATCTATATATATTTTTTTTTTCTAAGGAAATTGTGATCTTCAAAATGCCATTAAATGGTCAAACTATTGTTCTGTCATATAAGTTATGCTACTTCATAATTCTGTCTTTATCTCCTCCTTTATAGTTGTTGTCCTGTTCATATTTTATTTCATCAGATTGGGTTTATAATTGAATTATGACAGGAATTGTGTTAAAGGGAGAAGTCTTTAAAAATGACAAATATTATAAATGATTAGATTTAATAAATTATGAATTTAATGAGTATAAAGGTCAACGAGAAATTTATCTAAGTAATAGGATTGTAAAAAGTCTATTTTGGTGGAATTTAAGTTTATTTTTGACTAAAATAGGATTGCAAACAATTAACCCCTATGTATCACTTGACAGATGATGTAATGTAAGCTTCCAAGCAGCAGCTGGAGATGACCTGCAAGAAACAGAGAAGAACACAAAGAATCCAATGGAACAATATGCAGGAATATGATTTTTCGTATATTGCTGATATTCCTTCGTAAGGTCTATGTAGTATTCCACCAGTACATTACCACTATAGTGCAACGGTTAGTTAGGGAGTAAGGAGAACGTGCATAACAAAAACAGAAAAAAGATAATGACTAGAGTAGTGGCAGGAGTAAGATAGATAAGATGCCTCGCGTATTAGGATAGTCCCCATCAAGTCTCCCCGTCTTTGGAAGAACTCGCTTCCGGCGAGGACACGATAGCATTTGCATCATCTCATGGCTGATATTGGTGAATGTCAGAAACGTTGAAGGTGGAAGAGGTTTGAATGTGCGCCGGGAGGTCAATGATGTAGGCGTTGTCATTGATCTTCCTCAGGACAGGGAAAGGTCCAATTTTTCTGGGGCAGAGTTTACTATACGTACCAACAGGAAATCGCTCTCGGCTAACACGAAGCATCACTAAGTCACCCGGGCTGAAAGCCTTGTAGCGTTTTCGTGCATTTGCTAGTTTCTTGTATTTCAAATTGAACTCTTGAACCTGGCATGGACTTCTTCCCCAACATTCTTGAATCCTTCTGCGGTTTGAGCAGCAGTAGTGCTTCGACATTTGGGCAAGATGGCGATATCAATCACATGGTTTGGCATTTTTGTATACACTATGCTAAAGGGGCAGCGACCCGTGGATCTGTTTGGCATATAATTGAAGGCAAATTCTGCCTGACTTAGCATTTCTTCCCACTTCTTAGGGTGATCATGTACTAAGCATCGCAACATATTACCAAGGGTGCGGTTCACAACTTCGGTCTGACTGTTCATTTGGGGGTGGTATGCGGAGCTAAGTTTAATTTCCGTGTGGAGGCACTTCCATAACTCTCGTCAAAAATGACTGATAAATTTCACGTCCCCGTCCGAGGTGATGCTACGAGGAAGCCCATGTAAATGTACGATCCCTTTTAAAAAAAGTCTAGCAACGTGCATGACGTCGAAGGTTTTCTTACATGGAATAAAGTGCGACATTTTAGAAAACCTGTCCACAACCACCATTATGGAATCAATGCGGTTCTTTGTTCGTGGGAGGCCCAAGATGAAATCGATACTAAGATCTTCCCAAATGGAGTCCGGCATGGGTAGGGGCAAGTATAAGCCAGTGTTCTGTGCGGTGCCTTTAAATTCCTGGCAGACCGGGCATCGCTCTATGAATCGAGATACATCCCTAGCTAGACGAGGCCAGTAAAATCTTATCTAAAGCTGGGCGAGAGTTTTAGTTCGGCCAACATGTGCCGCTAGGCTCCCGCAATGAGTTTCCTTTATCAGGTGTTGCCTCCAGGACGAATTGGGAATACATAAACGGTTAGCTTTAAACATAAAACAATGGCGTATAGTAAAATCCTTACAAGGTTTATCGGTCATGCATTGTTACCAGTAAGAGGCGAAATCCACGTACGTGGCATAAACCTGTGATCTCCGTTTGCAGCTGTGTGAGCAGAGCAGCTCTCCTACCGAGCGCGTCAGCCACTCGGTTGAGCTTTCCTTCCTTATGCTGCAGCATAAAAGTAAATTTCTGAAGAAAAATTATCCAGCGGGCATGCATGAGATTAATACTTTTTGGCTGTTGAGGTATTGAAGTGCCTTGTTATCACTACTCAATACGAAATCCTGATGAAGTAGGTAAGGTTCCTACTGCTTCAATGCTCGCACCATCGCATACATTTCTTGCTCATAAGTGGACCAATTCTGCCTTGGAGGGCTTATTTTTTCACTAAAAAACTCAATGGGTTTTGATTCTTGAGAAAGTACAACATCGATACCTACGGCGGAGGCGTCAGTGTCCACATGGAATGGCTTTTCAAAATTGGGCAAGGCTAGAACTGGGGCAGAAGCTAAAGCCATCTTAATAGTCTCAAAACTGTTATGTTGAGTTGTAGTCCAGTTAAAGTTATTGGCCTTTAAACAATCCATTAGAGGAGTAACAATAATACTGAACCCTTTGATGAATCGCCTATAAAAATTCTCAAGTCCATGAAAGCTTCACACTTCAAATAGGGATTGGGGAGTAGGCCAATCATGGACAGCTTCTACCTTCCTCGGGTCAACCTCAACACCGCTGTCAGAAAGTATGAACCCCAGAAATGGACGCTATTTGAAGCGAATTCACATTTAGGAGCATTCAAATATAGCTTATGGTGGCAAAGCAATTGAAGAATATCATAAAGATGGCTAATATGATCAGTGAGGTTAGCACTAAAGACAAGAATATCATCAAAATAAGCGACACAAATCTTTCCCAAGAATGGTTTTAGAACTTCATGCATCAACCTCATGAACGTATATGGGGCATTGCAAAGACCAAAGGGCATTACCTTCCATTCATATAAGTCGTCGCGCGTCTTGTACGTTGTTTTCCATTCATCCCCCGGGCGAATGCGGATCTGGTGATAACCACTCCGAAGGCCCAACTTAGAGAATACAACAGCTCCTGCAAGACGATCAAGCAAATTAGAGATTCGGGGAACAGGGAATCGATATTTTATTATGATTTTATTAATTGCTCTACTGTCGACGCACATCCGCCACTGGCCATCTTTTTTTGGAACTATCAATGCGGAAACAGCGCAAGGACTCAAACTATGCTGAATTAGCTCTTTATTCAGCAATTCCTCCACTATGCCTTGGAAGATGGAATATTCTTTGGGACTCATACGGTAATGCGGTAAATTAGGGAGAGTGGCCCC